TTTCTGAATCGTATAGTTCGTAATAAAACAATTGATAATGCAAGAAATAAGGAGAAAATGCTTCTATTCCGCACGAGAGTCACAAATTAACTCGGAAATCTCCCACTGCGTCGAGGGCAACGTTCACATAGTAAAAGGGAACCAAAAGATATCGACTATTGCCAAATTCCATAGGTCAATCCATTTTTTGTACCCGAAAACGGTCGCACAAATTCTTTTGATCTCGGTAACAAATTCCGTAAATTTTTCGGAAGGATCCGCTTAGCGTTCTCCTGTCACGATACGAATAATTTTCCCATGAAATCTGACGATAGTGAATACTACTTCGTTCCCTTCCGCTGAACTTTGCTTGCATTATGACGTCGTATCGATCAAGAAAATTGTGGTTTCACAATCGATGGTTAAGACCAATTTTCTCTCCCCCCCCCCCCCCACGCGCGGAGAAAAAAAACTTCAGTTCTATATGCTCATAGAAGTCGGTGGATACTTTTTGGTTCTGGAAAATGGACCATCAGTCGCGCGAGCCGCTCGTATGACGTCACCGAATGTCCAGGGTTGCCTCAGTCAGGGAAAACTGGAAAATGTCAGGGACTTTTACAAAGTCAGGGAAAATGACGAAAATGTCAGGGAAATTTTGTTAAATCACCCTCATTTACTGTCCAGAGTGGGTTTGAGGTTTCGAACAACAAATGGCTGAAAACTAATTTCAATTATGCCCTTTTAACCATCCGTCACATCTTCAATTGTCAAGGAATTTCACCAAAATGTGCCAGGGAAATCAGGGAAACGTCAGGGAATTTCATTTTCTAAATTCTGTGGCAACCCTGAATGTCGATTTGCCGAACTGACAATGAAATTCCAGTTCAATGAATCTAAAAACTTGGGTACTTCCATGAGGATCAGAGCTACTTCGTTTTGGAAATGGGCTTCGGTCTCATCAACCGAATAGGTCGAAGGGCGCAACTGTAGAGATCGAAGGGCGCAACCGAGGTTTTTCAAGGTTGGAAAATTGAGGAAATCAGGGAATTCGTGACGATCGGGAAAAGTTAGGGAATTTCTGAAACATCTACTGATCACCAAAACATATCACTGATCCTTCAATTGTCCACCGTTTCTGGTCATTTTCAAGGCTTGTCGTCTCTCAACCGGCTACTGAATGCCTTCTTCCATAATTTGAACTCAAACAAGGAAAAGTGGAAAGAGGTCTGTGCAAAAACGGCAAAATCCGCCCACCCTCAGATTTCAACCAAACTTCGGATTTTGATAGGCCTATATGCCAATAGTAATCCCTGAAAATTTCAGCCCCCAAAAATAATTACAAGAGGGGGGGCGGGGGGTCAAAGTTGGAAAATCGTGCAAAATTCAAACTGCTATANTGAAATCTGAGGGTGGGCGGATTTTGCCGTTTTTGCACAGACCTCTTTTGTCCGATGTTCCGAAAAAACCAGGGGAGCAGAAAATTTTGGAGTCAGGGAAAAGTCAGGGAATTTGAAGATGAAGAAATGATGGCAACCCTGGTCCTCCGAACCGAAAAGCGGCCACTGAAATCCTCCAGATCTCAAAACCGAGATTTTTTTCCTCCGTGTCGTTTATTCGAACTTTTACTTCCCATTGAATGAAAGTACCACGTCTTTGATCCCTGAAACAGCTTTAGTTTTCAAAATTAGAGGCCGCAATGACTAGCTACCTTTGAAAGGACTCACCTTTGAAACTTTGTCACCTTCTTGCTGTGGTGTCCGATCGGGGGCTCAAGCTGCTCTGGGCAGAAAACAGAAAACACGTACCGTTTGGCCGCTCGAGGAATAGGTATCAACCCGGTCCAATTGTTCAAATAACAACGGCTCAAATATTTACGCAACGGCCAATTTAGGTATCGGCGAGCCACTTAACTTCGCACAAATATGCAATGCTGTATGGTTTGTGTGCAGGCCCGCTATTACATAAACAAAACTTCGCTCGCGAAAATACGATCCAACGCCTTGCTGCCTCGAAGCTGCTGCCCCAAGTTGTTGTTTTGTCGAACATCATCGTCGGATCGCATCACGTCTCCCCATTACAAGTTCGCTGCATTGAACAAAAAATGGCTATGAAATGCAATGCTACATCAGTCGCTCAGTGCCGTGGCGTGCTTTGCGATGTATCGATGTATCCCCATTTGAAGCTGCGGTAAATAATCGATCGGTGTTCGCTTCGAACACCCTGTTTATCGATAATTTTCCATAGGTTTAAATGACCGATCAATCGATACATCGCAAAGCACGCCACGCCACTGCAGTCGCTCGTATGCTCTTTCACTGAAAAAAAAATCTCGGTGTATTTACTAAGAAAAGGGTAAAATTACCAAGAATTCAGGGGTCTATTTGATCCCAGTTCTTTCTGGGTAAAATTGCCATTTATGGAATTGGTAATTTTACCGAGAAATCTCGGTAAAATTATTGAACTTTCTCAGTGATTTTACTGTACCTTGGTAAAATCGCCAGTATTTTTTATCGACTGTGGTAGAATTACCGAGATAAAATGGCAAAGTTACCGGGAATTGATTACCAATAAAAGTGGTATTCTTACCTGAAAAAACAGTAAAAATACTGATTTTTAAGTAAGCTTACCAGTCTGTCTTGGTAAAATTACCAATAATTGGTAAAAACAGTGAGATGGTAAAGGTACCAACGGACCTTGGTAAAAACGCCGAGAATTTTTTTTCAGTGTTTAAATCGGTATCAGACAGAATGACCCCGAATTTAATTTTGATAAGGCCAACCATGTTTAGACCGAACTTACCCAAAACGCACTAAACCGCATTAAATCAGAACCGAGAGAAATAAGTTAGAAGTTGTATAGGTGCTGAGGAACAAGTTTTATGACTATTCTCATGATCAACATATTTTTTTCCGAACTTTGAATGTTTGACACGGGAAAATTTACAATTAGTTGAATTCAAAGCTAGGCACTCCTAACTCATTTGTCTCATTAATGCGACTTAATGCGTTTCTATCAAATTAAGTTCAATTTATTGAACTACATTTTGCAATTAGGAACCACAATACTAGTGCAGGTAAATAAGGAAAAGAGCCTGCAAAAATCCCGGGTAGCAATGTTTTCATTGATTCCTATCTAATTTCCGACGCTGAATCCGAATTTCAACTTTGCTTCAAAAAATTCGGACCGGAAAGTTGCCAAATTTGGCAAAAACAGCCTAAAATGGGCCCTTTTCCGTATTATGGCCCGTAACTTGTCAAAAATTGATCCGACGATAAAATTAGTTATTTTAAAAATAAAGCTCGTTAAATTTCCTAGTCCCTTCCGAGCAAGTGTGAATGATTTTTCGTCAAATTCACCCGCGTAAATCAGGGGATTTTAAAATCCAAGAAAATTCGTCTCCCTACAAACAGCGACGCTCACGATGAGTCGCAATTCCGACTATTTTTGCCGGTCCGGGTCCCGCAAATTGCATTACTTGGCAACGATGCCTCTTGCCTCTTGCGGAAGATATTAAATGATCAAAAAAATATGATTTTTATATTTTTCCATATAATTTAAATGAGAAGATTCAGGAGGAGGTTAATGTGTCGTTGCCAATAAAGGCAAGCGAGTAATCGCCACACCGCATAAATAAATAGTCTTGATTTTATTTATACCTGTTTTATTTATTTACTTGTCTCTGTTTTCCAATTTGATCAAATACACAAACTGCCCTATTTTTATGCAGTGACGACGTATGAATGCAATGAAAGACACATTTTGTCATCACAAGCGGAAATCATTGAAGGCGCTGCGGCTTCTCCAACAGCAAGGCGTGGATGCAACTATTCGTGTTCTCGGGATGTGCGTGTTGCATACACTAACAATTGCAGGCGTTTTGGTTTTCTCAGGCACAACGTGTGGCTGCGGTTGTTCGCTCTCAATGGATTTTTGCGTTACTTCTACAATCGTGTTTACTATGAGTTTCTCGGGAGTACGAATGAGCAGTGTTGCATCATGCCAGCGTTGCCAAAAGGTGCAAAACTTCCATCAAGATTTCTTCACAAAGACGTACCGAGAATGTCAATCTCGCAAACTACCACAAATAAAATTCCCGTAATTTAACATTTTAGTGTGTGTGATAACGATAGGTTTCACTCATTTCATTTGTCGTCATTGCACGAAAAAAAGAAGCTTTGAGTATTTAACCAAATGGGTTACCAAGCTGTGAACAAATATTGACTTGCGAAGACATTTTTCCGAAGGTTAATGACACGATTTAAAACGCGATGCGCTCGTTAAAAACGCGAAAAAGTGACGTATAAACCGAGAAATACGCAGCTCAAAAAGCGCAACCTAACCGTAAATTTAAAACATCCTGGTTTGGCGCCGAAACGAAAGATATCATCCGGCACCTATCAGAAGCTAGCACGGGTCTTTACGACTTCCGTTAGATGTCTTTCCAGGCCTCGTACATGAAAAAAATAGGAAAGTCGAAACTATTACTTCGGAATCAAAGAATTGAAGCTCATTCACGTTATCTGTAGCTAATAAGCAACAACTCCACGTTGTAACACGCTTTATTTTGACAAACCTTAGTGAAAAATATAAGGAGATAGCGATTGGACTGCCGTTGCACATCACTTCCATCATTTTCCCGCCTTTCCGGCGCGTTTGAAATTCTTTCGTCTACAAGTCTTCAAACTTTTTAAAAGCGGACTTGGCCCGGATTTCGGGTCCAAAAATGCAAAGTAAATCACCACGTAATCTACTCACCTGGCATTTTCAGAATACTAAGTATAAAACGCAAGGTTTGGTGACCCATGGGGAAGGGGGGGGGGCTGTATCAGTAGTTGAATCAGGGTTTATTCTGATAAAATTTATCTGAAGGTTGTGTATATTTGTGTTATTGTTTGGTTTTGAAGTTAGGTTTTCATATTTTAAGAAACAATTGATTTTGTGCAATTTTTTGAAACATGTAATTCTGTATAAGTAAAATGATCTCCTATAAATTAACTTAATTGTACTTTGTTTTGTTGCAGCCATGCAAACGGCGAGCAAGACGCTTATGGACTCGCTGAACGAGATATACGAGAGTCAGTGGGTGGGCCATGACTTGCTTTACGTTCAAACGCAGAATATCGAGATGCTATGGAACGACTTCAGCCATAAATTAGCTGACCAAGTTCTCATACCTCTGAATACTTATCAATCCCAGTTTAACGAAACAAAAGTAAGATTCCCTCTTTTTACCATCTTGTAATGTGTATTTTTTAGTCGTTTTTACAACGCGCGAGGGCGCTCTGCGACGTTCACCCGCCACAGAAATCTGTCACGGTAGAGATCCTCCGGAAGCTGGCATCACTCCATCTCTTTTTTCTCATCTTTTAATGCTATTACAATTAAACGGTTGAAGTTAATTTCATCGGTCTCTGTTTCAAATTAGGTATCATGGTCTATTGTTGTATCTTAGACCTAAAGAAAACCAGGAAATACTGGAATCCGTCAAGGAACGAAAAATCTATGGGAAAATCACGGGATTCATCAGACAACTGCATCAATTAAGTAGGAACTTTTTCCTCAAACAATACTTCGATTCATTCATAAATTGGATGGTCCACATTGAAGTGGCGCCACAGAATTATCATACAAATAATAAAAAATCAATAAATTTTCCTTCAATGCGGTGGAATAAATTAATTTTTTCCGAAGAAACTTGGTAAAGTGAAGAGGAACCTATGAATATCAGATACCATGTCTGAATCACCATTGAAACTTCACTCAAGACGCAGAAAAGTGTATGTTTCATCATTATCATTTCTTGTAGTGAGACCATGTTAATCTTCAATTTTCAATTAAAAGATTGATGAAAGTTACAGTTTGATCTTCATGTAATAAATTTGTCTAAGTTGAGGAGTCTTTTTCCCTTGCTAAAGTATCTTAACTTAAATCAGAAAGGAAAGGTCATGTCATCTTGGTAAATCATGATTATTTACTTCTATGTGTAATTATTTGCAGAAAAAAATTGACAAACGTGGAAGGAAGTTAGTTGATTATGATAAGCAACGGCACAACAGTCAGTCACTACAAGGTGGAAATGCGAAGAAGAACGAAGTGAAAATGATCAAGGCACGAGAACAGCTAGAAGAAGCAAAAAGAACGTATGACCTATTAAATAGCGAGCTTCATGATGAACTGCCTGCTTTGTATGACTCTAGAGTACTTTTCCTAGTCACAAATCTTCAAACTCTCTTTAGCACGGAACAAGTATTTCATATGGAAACAGCAAAGGTACTTATTTTTTATTTACTCCTTTGTTTTTATTTCCTGTCATGAACCTAAACACAAAACCTACAGTAGATTCAAGTAGAGGATATTCAAGAGCAAATATTTGCATGTCTTCCTCTGAGGCAATAGATCTTGTTATAATGTATTAGGATGAATTCCTGTGCCAAATGCCATGTGCGTCTCATCATATACTTTGATGCTCACAAAACCATGCTTGTACCCAATTTAGCAGGATAATGTTCCCCGATATTCTGAGGTTCTTTCTGAAAAAACCAATCAATATTATAGCATGACAATACCTTCTGAAATCCAATTTTAAGGCGCCAAAATATTAAAGAAATCAGTGAACTACAAAAAATCCTCTAAAATTTGGATTAAATTAGGAGTGCTCTTTTAAAAACGATTCACATCACCTAGTTCCATTTGCAAGCTTGCCAGTACTCATGTCTGGTGCAACTCCCTTGAATTAAACCCAACCATATGTATGTAAGTGGTTTGTGGACAAAAAATGTTATATTCTTTTTAGGAAAATTTTAGTATTCAAGACATTAGATTCATCATTTTCATTATTAAAATATTTAGTGCCATCAATACTCAAGAAAAAACACCACGAAGAATTGTTAATTCTTTTTTTGGCCTTGTGCCTCTCGCAAAACAGTGTAGACATCAAACATCTTGTTTAACAATGTTTCCACATAGCTCTTGTCATAATAAGTTCTTGAAGAAGTAGCAACTCAACCCATATGAGATCCTTCACGTCTGCTAATGATATATTTTTACTAATTCAGCGCTGTTTGAAGTCAATCTTTGTATTTTGCATTTCTTTTGTTTTTCAGGTCTTTGCTGAGCTAGAAGCCATTGTTGATAAACTAGCCACCGAAAGTCAAAGAGGATCATATACGCTTAAGAAAATGCAGTCGCCCAATAAAATTTTCAACTCCAACAATGCAACGTGAGTATCTGATTAAATGATCATCCCTTTTAAGTTCTAACTCTGTCTTACTTTCGTTATCAGAAAGAAGTTCAATCCATCTCTTTTTATCAGAGGGTACTGCACTTTATTATTATTACAAGAAGAAAATATATATCCATTGATTCAGCTCAGGTGTATAAAGGCCAAATCAATAAAACATTGTATTCTAACCGGGTAGTTTTTCTACTTCGTGCTAGTCCTCATGAAATGATGTTATTATAAGCAGAAGTGAAGTCAATCTGTTGCAATATTGACTTTTCCCCCCAAATTTTTATTGTTATACTTTTTGCTACATTTTAAGAAATTAGTGATCCATCCCTTGATTGCACAAAAAGTCATAAAAAGTGTTCAAGTACCAATCCAAACATGCTTTAAAAAAAGTAGGAAAATAGACCACTGCCTCCCTTCTCTGAACAGAGTACGGAGTTACTCAGAAATGGGCACATTCTGTGGGATTGATACACACCCATTCAAATGATATTCCTACTTTGTTTCAATCAGTAGGGCATCAGTTTATTCCTCCTTTTTTTTATCTAGATCGGGATTTTACAGGAAAATTTGGTTTATTTGGTCCTCTACTAATAATCAATCTTTTATTAGGATTTTAACATGATCATATCTTTTACCAAAGGGCTACTATTTTAGTGTAGATCCATTTGTTGATTATACTATTTTGTTTGTTTTTCAACTTAGATCTTCACAAATCAATAAGTTTTTTTTATAAAACTTCACCAAAACAGCTCCCTAAAATAATCGAAAATGAAACATTTGTAGCTTTCTTCTGAAATTCACTGCATACATTTTTTATAGTTTTTCTTTAATGAATTCATGCTATTACGTGTTTCAAAACAGAATATCCTTTCTAATTTTTTCAATCTTTGCTTCACAGGGCCAATTCCCCGCATTCACCTCCGTCACCAACAAGTATTCTTAATGGTGAGTATAATTGTTTAAATTGTTTGAGAGTCCATTGTTTAAAGAAAAAAATAATTATTTTACTCTTGTTGTGATCAAACATTTTACTTTTATTAATGTGACATATGAAGGAGCCATCAAGGGAGGTTCAGTTTTTTGCTTCTATGAATCAGAAAAAATCAGTTCTGATGGGGGTGCTAAGCCCCTCAGGTAACAAGAGTTAACCCAACTAAAGTTAAACAATGCCCAAACGGTAAATGAATTGGTACACTCTAATAATGTATCTATAATGAAGATGCCTTTTAAATTTGACCATGTCTTCTCTCTCCTTTTTTGGAATAAGTTTTAACTCAGTTTCCATTGTTCCAAATACAGTCAGATTTTATCATTATTTCAAGTAAAATTTTGAAATTTAATTGACACGAAACTGTATGTTTTTTTGGCATCTTTGGCCCAACTTTGAGTTCGTTTTAAATATTTTTCCAGATAAAGTGTGTTTCTTTCAGTCCTGTGTGATGTTCATTAACTTCTTGCCTCCTTATGTGTGAGTCCTTTAGTTTTCTAGAGTCCCTTCACTTCTTTACTGAGTGTACTATATGTATCGTTCATTAAAAATCTAATACGTTGTTTTAAGAGCTGATGCATACTAAATATTTTTCGAAAAAACAGATTTTTAGTGTGTGTCTTGCTTGATTTGCTCCATCACTAACTCGTTTGTGTTTTTGATTTCTCTAACCACTTTTTTCAATCTAGAAGAGGACAAACCTCGACTTAACAGTACTCCTCCGTCAGAAGTGGATGATAAGCAGAAGAATGGCGAAACTGACCCACCGCCGTACAATAACGATTTATCCCCTCCCACTAGCCCTGTAAAACCTCATTTAAATGGAAATGCCAGTCCACCCGCATCAGAACCTGTAAAAACCGCAACCTTGAATACATCAAATGGTGTGGATAGCCCCAAAGCCACCTCACCACCTGTTGTTAACAACAAATCAAATGAAGATAATAATAATAAGCAGGTCGAACAGATTTATGATATTCCTTCAGGTAAGTGTAGACAACTAATCATACTCTAGGTGTCTCATAACAGAGAGTATGGAAGGTTAGAAGCCCGACTCAATGCTGAGTAATTGAAACAGAAACAGCAACTACTATTTTCTATTGTTTTCCAGAGACTGACGGCGGGTATGTTGCTGTCGGACCACCTTCACGTGGGCAATTTCTCATACACCGTCCGTTCGCAACTCTTGCTTGTCCAATTAGCGCAGTAGTGTAGAAATCCCGCTTGCCGCGCACTCTCGCGTCAACGTACGCATTTTCTTGCCCACGGCTCAACCTCTGTTTCAATTCTTCCCTATCCAGTCGGGCCTGTAACCTTCCATACTCTCTGTCTCATAATCCCCCCCCCCTTCATTTTAATAAAAACACAAGAATTCATTTCCAATGGCTTTTTTCTATCAGGTTAATGTGTGCAAAGCATATTTGAAGAAGCAATTATTTGTTAGAGATTAGAGATAGAGTCAAGTAAGTTTTGCGCTTTGTTTTCGCTTGCTTTGCTGTCATGACTCATCACTAACCACATGAAAATATTTGTCTTTCACGCAAATGAGTTCTGTCCGATAACCAATTTAGTTCAGTGTAAAGTCAGGGTATTCAATGTGTTGAGATTTGGAACACATTTTACATCATATTTTGCAAATCAAAATTTTCTTTTTATCGGTTCAAAATGATGGTGGCTCAAGAAATGCTGCTTTCACCAACTTTGCAATGGATTGTAGCTACCTAGAGCAAAAGCATTGCTGTGGGCAACAGTTGACTAGACAGACCTGTCAAAAGTAAACACCTGCCAACTTACCATAGGCCCACTTTGAGTATGACTCAGTTCACATTGGCAAATAAATTTGTGTTCAACTTATTAATCGGATATTTTGTTCCTCGTTCTGCTTTCAGGTGCCACAACTGATAATTTACCGCCCGGTGTGCTCTACAGAGTAAAAGCTACTTATAAATATGTCAGAGAGGATGTTGACGAGCTCTCGTTTGAAGTTGGCGAAGTAATTAGGGTAGTGGAATATGAGGATCCTGAGGAGCAGGTTAGTGGTCTTGATCTTTCCCACAATTTTTTTTTTTTTTTTCAATCTCTCAAAGCCCCCAGATGAGCAAATTTATTTCTTAACCAAAAGCATGTTTAAAATCAGGGTGAGCTTTTACATAAAACTTGTCCAATATTTATTGACACAGGTATAAATATGTAGTTTTACTCCCAGTATTTGCTTAGTTTCACCCCTTAGTTATTTCTCTCAATATAAAATTCAAATCTAATGCACGTCAAATAAACGTAGCTGTGCCGAAAATGAAAACCACCATAGATTTCGTAGCATTTTCTCGCCAACAAAGAAATAAAAGCAAGTTACTATTATTAAATCCTTGATAAGAAATTAATCTTCTTAAGGAGAAATCCAAGTTGGAAAATCTCTGAAGTTTCAGGATCTTAGGCAAAGCTGATTTTTTTTTTAAAAAAATTAGTAAAGTTTAGGGTGCAAGGGAGCTTGTTGGATGTAATTGAAGAGTCAAGTGTTTGAGTGACAGCTGTTAACTGAATCTTCCTATTGTGAGACTTTTGCTTGCTGATGAGTCAACTCAAAATTTTTCCACACTTGACACTCTTTAAGTCATAATAGTTAAAGTTCTAATTTGTATGTTTTTTAGGAGGAAGGTTGGTTGATGGGAATCAAAGAATCATCCGGTGAAAAAGGAATGTTCCCAGCCAATTTCACTCGCCCATTGTGAGAATGGAATCACCCTGTGTGCAAGTACCTGTGAGTTTCCTCTGATTATCGCCTTTTAAATTTTTTTTTTTTTTTTATTGGAATAATTCCTTTTAATTCTGCGCATAGCTTTTCATGCCTATCGAAGTTAATGATTCTAACAGCCTCTTCAATTTTTTTGGTAATATTTTATTTTATTTGAATTTTTGGCAGGAAATTTTGAACGTGCAATAAGCAAATGCCTACTACATTCAACCGCATATGCATGAATTGAATTGGGGTTTAGATAGACATGTCAAGAATATTCTAAGCTTTTTAAAAATCATTTGTTCTTGATCATCAGATGATGCAGTGGCGTGGCATCCATAGGTTCGCAAAGTTCGCCAAACACCCTAAAATATTTTTAAACAATTAATAAATTATAGCTAAGAATGTGGGAAACAATACAGAATAGTAAACTGCAAATAATTATTGAACGCTTGGTTTCCGACTGTGGCATGCGGCGGAGAGAGAGATAATCCTGCGACGCGGGGTCCGCACCGGCTCCCAAACCTGGGTGAGAGCGAGAGGGCAAATAGCAGGGCGAGCTGACTGCCCCATTTTACCTATGATCTGCGTTCGATGAGGAGAGAGAACCTGAGTGCAATGATGAAGGGGGTAGGCGAGAGAGGAGAGGTGCCGGCACAGGGTGCAGAGCATGGCGGGATGCGAGAGCACTGGGTTCGGAGACAGGTGCGGACCGCGCTTGTGGAGTGAACATAGTCAGAAAAGGGAGCGGGAGGAGAAAACGAGAGAGGAGAGCTGCTCATCAGTCCAGCTTTTTCCCATAGCAGTGGTTCGCAGGTGCCAGCAAACCGCCGAATTTCAGCGGCTGTGCGGATGAGATAACAAGGGGGTGCAAAAACAAATTGTACTTCCATAGCATGTTACTATGAATTGTGTGCAGTTATACAGTCACCAGCAACTGTAGCTTATAGTTTTAATAGCTGTACATATTATTTCTGAAAAAATGTTTAACTAGCTATTTGTGAATGATCACAACTACATATTAGAAGAGTTTCTAGCTGAAATTTCATGAGCTTTGTTTTTCTTTTTCAGTTTTTCAATATCATGCGTTATTAGGCTGAGCACGATGTTAAGTGCTACCGTACGTCTGGACCATACTTTGAGTAAACACATCAAAAACTGTAAGTTATTTCTGGCATTTAATCTACCATAAGGTGTGGGTAGGACCGGTACCCAAATTTCAATAGCATCCTCAGTCATCACATAGTGAGTGTTTGTTTTTGTCCCAACTTCCCTGATTTTCAGTTACCCCGCAATCGCAGTCAAGATATGTTCGGCCAGTCATAATGTATGATTAGTCAAGTATTTGACTCTGTAGTCGGTTCGGTCAGAAGTTGTCAAGCTAGGGCTGTAAATCTGAATGTGTCGGAAACTGCGAAAAAACAGCGCATTTATGCCCTTGTTAACAAATCTAGTTAGACCTAGTTTTGGTTTTGTGTTTACTTTTGCTTTTAGGTTTGTGTTTTCTCCTTTATTTCTTCTAAGTACTGTGTAATTAAGTATTGACTTGACAGATTGCTGAGTCGCTTTCCTTGTACCAAGTACCTTCTGTTTTTTCACTTATTTTCCTTCATTTCTTTTTTTTGTAACCACATGGATGAAATGAACTCCTAGTGAGTTTCACTTCCTCATAGCAATGTACATATGACTTTTTCGATCAGGATGTTTCACAATCTGTGTAAAGATAAACCAATTGTAGTTTAGCCAATCTGCAGCCTGCCAACTCTTTGGATAGAAACGTAGGGTCAATTCACAGCACAAACTATTTTCCAGTTAAATGTGTGAGGTGCTTTTTGGGACTTTATTTTTCTCCCAATTTTTAATCAGCACCAAGAACATTACGAAGAATCCGAATCCTCTAATTATGAATTTGGGTACGAAATAACTCATAGTACCTTCGAGATCATGGCTTCCGCAGTTTATGGACCAAAATGAATCGCAGCTTTATGTTACTGCTGTTTTTTCTGTCCTTAAATTCAGCATTATTCTATGGAACAAATAAAAACCATAGAAAAACTGCCGGAAACATCCTCTTTTCATTCCAAATGATTAAAAGCTAATATGACGCCCCATTTCGGGTGCATTACGGCCATAATGAAAACGCTTCATCCAGGAATTTTCAGTCTAAAAAAATGTGTGCTTGAGGAATTGTTTCAAAAATTTCTTGTAAGTAAGAACTTGCAGTTAGTTTGAAGTAACAGCTAGCAAATGTTGAAATCGTTTTGTTCGAGTTTCAGTGTAGCTTTGGGAGTAGGTAATATTTTTTATCATTTGAAGATATTGTGTGTGCAATTATTTGTCTTAGTTCTATTACGCTCGTAAAGGACTTTTTAAAATTCCCAATCATTGTTTTAATATGACTTCCCAGTGAAGTCCTCTCATGAATTGATAATATAAGTTTTGTAAGCTCTTTTAGAGAGAATTGAGGTAATTTTTTCATCAGTATCGTGGCTTTGTTAAGTCTTGTCAAAAGTGAATGAAATGACCGATACCTGATTTTTCACAGAAGCTTGAAAATACTTACTGGTTCCCTTCAGTGACTGGAAACTTCATTTAAAATTACTTGGAAAATTGAAAGTTAAAGATTTTGGTCATTATTACTATAATTGCAGTACAGATCTTTCCTTCTTATACGGAATTTTATTGAATATTGCTAAGTTTCTTCCGTAAATTGTAAATACGTCCAAAAAAGAGCCCTTTCTTCTAGATACTTGTGTATCAGGTAAAAAAGTTTAAGTATTGGACTTTTATTTTTGTGCCAAAAAGAATGTTTTAAGTAGGAAAAATGTTTAATAGTGAAAGAGTTCACTGCAGTTAATGAATTCAAAGCTTATTGAGCCAAAATTTTTTTTTTTCTTTTTTAAGCTCTACCCAGTTACTTTTCTCCTTACTATCGTTGGATGTACCATCTAGAAAGTAGAGCATGCCTGCAGCTGTGATCCGTAAGGTAATTTGAAGTTGATTTTTGATGTTTCAAAATTCAGAATATCATGAGAGGCTTAATAATAATTTTTCCCTGGGGAGAAAACCTCAGTACATATAAAATTGAGATGTATTAAAATTATACAGATTTCTTAGAATCATGATTTATTTCTTCAATATCTTATTTGAAATATTTCTGTGTAATTTCTTTTTCTTCCATTTAGCATGTAACTTTCACTCTGTTAATTTTTCAACTCTAATGACTGGAAATTAAAGCCTCTAATCAATAATGCGACACCTATACACATTACATGAAAAAAGTGTTTGCCTCTCATGGATTAATAAGCAGCTATTACTCTAAGTAGCCTTGACTACGGAATAAAAATACTGGATCACAGCTGCTAAATATTATTAGTTAAATCTGTTCCAAGTTTAAATATCTAGAGTGTGCCTGTGAAATCTGGTTCCAGGGCTGATTTTTATTTTTGGGACTGATTTGACTCTCATCGAGGTCCATGGCTTTATTGAATTTATGTCTAGTCAAAATTTCGATGGTGAAACTGCAAAGATCCACGTCTAGGTTTGCAGCATTGCAGACTTTCAGTCAGTTTTTATTTCCTAAATAGAAAACTACTCATCCTCATTTCTTAAAAATTTCACTGATTCTTCACTATATGAAGAAAATTCTGTGATAATTTCAAACCATGATGTCAGTTTGGTTTCCTCCTTTATTTAAAAAAAAAAAACTAAAAATAAGAGTGGAAATTATGAAACCCCACAACCGAGATATGTATTTCTGCCGTTTCATCATCGGTTTGCAGAAAACGTCATTTTTAATTATCCTTGTCTCCAAATCAAGTTAAACTAAGGTTTTGTATGTTTTTAAAGTGCACCACTGCACCAATGTTGGTTTAAACCCTTATGAACATTATTTCAACTGTAGTGAAAAGTCAATCTTTAAGCAAAAATAGCAGGTCATGCAGTTTTGTTGGTATTTTTAGTTTTGTGGTGGCATCAGTTCATTTTATATCAACTTGGGTATACTTTATCATACTGAATAGCTGTGCTGTGTAACTGAATGATGTATGGACATTTTGGATTCATAAATGGAAATCCTTTCAATCTCGTGGAAATTTTCTGTTGCTTATAACTGAACAGAATTTACCACAAGACAGGCTACGAAATTAAGCACTACAATATAAGTTTTCTTATCAAAGTTGTACTAAGAGTATGATATACGCATGAGAAAACCTGTATTGTAGCTTTTAATTTATCCAATCTAGAGGTCCATTAACCTCTACAGGCATCAATTCCCAGGAAGATGAGCACGGATTGCCTGTAAACACCACTCAACATGAATGATCAGTAATATATTTTTATTTCAAGGTTGGCACAGTGTCAGAAGGGGAAGTCATCAAAATTGAGAGTTCAGAATGAGCCATAACCTCTCTGAGGGTTTCAGTGCAACATACTTGACAAGTCAGGATGAAACATTTCAAAATTCATTAAACATTTGAGCGATAACCTATTCATGCAAGCATTCTCTTCAATTACTTCTACTCTATCCTATTCTTCGTAATTGAAGCCTAAGTGCCCACCTTTTTCATGTAAGAAGAAAAACGAGCATACATCTTTGTAGTATTTTCAAATTTATTAAGATAATGTTTTAATTTGCTCAAATTATTGTATTGTATTAGTTAATTGTAAAAAAAACTCGCCTTGTCGTATCATCATGTAAATAAGTGAGTGAGTTTTCTTGAATTTTTCCACATTTTGTCAATGTGTGCTTGCTAACCCTGTTCTGACACCAGCAGCAGAAAAAGAAGAGATTTATTCCCTAACCCTAGGAGTATGGAAGAACAAAGTATTAACTGTTTAGATTTAGAACAATTAATTTAGCATTTAACCCATTGTAATCTAGGTTTTGGAGGTTTTGAAATTCCTCAATGCTGTGTGTTTACACAGTGTGTTTTTTATGGGTGTTAGATTTATCCAAAGCTTTATCAAATTTTACACGAAGAAAGGGTAAAAACTATTTTTTCACTCTGAAGTTTCAATTTTCTTTGGAAAACGTTTGCAAGAATCCAAGAAAGCGAGGAAAAATATGTGAGAAACAGAGTAAAACAATTTTGCTTGCCAAGTAAAATCTATATCTGCAGGTACCCTTTTTGTCACTTTTTTTTATACATAAATGGTTTGCATGTTTAGTTTAACGTTTGTAAGATGTTTCAAAAGATATGATGCAAACAGGAAAAACTTCAGCTGAATCACATAAATCTGTTCAGTATTACAAAGTATTTCTTCTAGCACACTAGTGCGGGAAAGTATCTCTCTATTGCCGAAACCTGAAAAAAGGTTATAATGTAAGGTATTTTTCTCTTTTTGAGAATTTATCTTCCCAAAATTAAGTAAGTTTTTTTTATAGAAGTATTTTTAATTGTTCTACTGTCTCCTTTTGAGGCTGAAGAATCAAAAGTGAGTATTTTTTTCAACAACTGTTCAGTGTGAAGATTTTTTAATTATGATGAATTTTTACTTTCCTGGAAATTAACAGATTTTAGTGGAAATATTGTAACTGCAACTCTGTTTTAATTTGTTAGTATTATTGTTATGAAGTTTTTAGTTCATAAATGAAATCCTCCTAATTACTTCCCTGTCAGCATCCCCCTATCATTTTTCTTATTTTTCTTCCTATTAGTCGGCTATTCTTCTTTTATAATACTTAAATTTTACAAGCTTAATTTGAAACACAGGAATTTTATAATCTACTTTATGACTGATCTTGTCATCATTTCCCTCCTGGAGCTATTTTTGACAGGAATTCATCTCATTTCATCTTTTTCTATGTTCAAATAGGTCAAGGCAGCTGTTTTGCTAGAGATAAACTAAGTGTCTTTACATTATTTGCAACTTGTTGCCAGTAAAATTACAATTTTTTCTCTCTTTTTTTGTAATTTTATTCACCATCAAATATTCATTGTTATTGTCTCGTAATATAAATTACTTAAATTATTATCTACAAACATTCATTTATTTATTTTATTTTATCTCATCCTTTTTTTGGAAGTATAAAAAAATAATATTGTAAAAAGACTGTTAATGTTTTAATCTTATTTTGATAAAATAATTTTAATAAATCAATCATTAATTAATTTGTTTAAATTATGGTTATTTATTTTAAAGCATTCCTCTCTTTAGTGATACGCATCTCCATTTTTGCAATGTATCATTAGTATTTTAAATGTACATCAAAGTCATAGAAAATTCCCTTTTTGTTCAGATTGTCTTCTCCATAATTTGATCAGGGTTTGTTCCATAATATCAAAAGACAGTTTATAGGCAACATGGGGTAATGAGAGAGGAGGAGAATCAAAATTTGTTTGACATTTTGTAACTTTGCGCGACTTGGAGCTGGAAATGAAATGCTACTGAGGAAAAGCGAATCGTGGTTTCTTCTTAAATTCGCTTGTGTAATTATTTTGCCATTGTCATATGCACATTCTACTTGACTGTCACAGGGTAAAATTGACAGTTACCAATGACCCACTACCGACTGTACAATCTCAGAGCCAGCGCACTTGATCTGAATGCACAGTGTAGATGCTGGTGTGATGGTGGCTTTTTCGGAATGGATGCTGTGGAGTAAAATGACTGGACTATTATTATAACCCTAACTTCAGTTGGACTTGAGGTTGATAGCAAGGTTGATTGCAAGGTTGATTGCAAGGGGCAATTTGCCCCAAAAAGAACATAATCTCTATGTATGCAAATGTTTTAATAATGGATTTGGTTACTCAGGATATGCAAGTTATTTTTAGATTTTGATAACAATGAATAATTATAATCTTATGACAAAACCCATATTGCGCCGGGGTAAAAAGAAATTTGCATTCGATTTTTTGGAGTGGCTCCCTCATATTGTTGACAGTTTAATGGAAAGTTAAATTTTTAGAAAAATATGCTTCTTAAGCAAATTTTTCACACTTGCTCATGCTCAGTCTCCATTCAATTGACATCAAATTTTTGCTGGGAAGTACCACTGAAGTAGATGGTTTGTCTTATTTGCTGCCCAAAGTTTTACCCTTCCTCGTACATGAGTTTCCAAGATATCATATTACTGGATATAAGAGAGGAGAAATCGACCCAAGAAAACAGTATTTGTATAGATATATTATGAGTGATGCGACGTAAAATCTTCAAACTTTGGGATTAGGAGGCTTTGACAAGAGAAACCACCTTTGTTAAATATTTGAACTTTCCTGATAGGTACCTTGTTTTATATTATCACTTTGTCGCCTGCAACAAAAACATTTTTAATATTTCTATCATCACCAAGGTATAAGAATTTCTGAAATAGTTCTTCAGGTCGTAGGTCTCTGATCAATTTATTTTCCATATTTACAAGGAGAGCATCAAAATCTTTTCCAATCTTGAAGTTGCCAATTTTTTCACTCAGAGATAATGCTGGAAAAAAACAAAAATTCTAATTGAACAATATGAATGAAGAATTCAAAAGAGGTGAAATACATCTCAAAAATAAACCACCTTACAATCACTAATTTTTCACTTTTCTTCACCTCTCAACATGATGTGAATAGCTTTCAAGATGCGTCAAGAGCAACATTTCTTTCAGATTTTGTAACAGGCCCATTGCAATGAAAAATATTTTGTCAACTTTCATTCGCAATAATAGTAGAAAAATAAATGAAGCAGCATGATGAGTGATGCCAAGTTTACCCACTTAGAAGGAGAAAAGTCAAGAAGTACAAAACAATTTTTCATAGTAGGCAATCCTGCAACTTTGATAGTGGCATTCTAACCATAGGCATGTACGACATTCATATAATCATTTTGAGTTTAGTTTATTCTTTTCTCACAGTCTATATCCCCCTAAGCTCCTAAAAAATATGTAAAAGTAAACTTTTAAATTGTCCTGCTTACAAAGAAACAAACCAGTTACATTAGGTACATACCCGCAGCTCCACCCATTGTTGCTAAATAAAACACTTCCTTATAATTTAAAGGCCTATACTCGGGATTGGAAAGGAATATATGATTCGAAACATCAATAGCACGCCTCATGGCATCTAGGATCGAAGGGTTGTACCCACCAGCAACATCTGAAATGAGCAAGAAAAATAAGAATACTTATTGCACTGGGTGTAGTTTATGAATGACCGCAAGTTGCGGATGAAATTAAGTCGATTTTGTATGCTTTGGGGTAATACGTATTTATCTTGAAACTGTTTATTACTTTCTCATTTTAATGAGTACAATCTTTTCTATGTAATTAAAAATCCTTTTATCAAAAACTTATGACAGCAATAGAACCGGTGAAATGGAAAAGACTGATTGTGATCGAGCAGGAAAGATATGACTACAAATCCTGCACCCCTGAAAACACATAGCTCCATTTTTTCCATTGTTAGGTGCTTCTTTCAAGCAGAAAAGTTGCTCATAGCTTCAGTTTTTAAGGGAATTGAAAATATTATTAGTAAAAATCAATAGGAATTACCTGTTCCAAGACCAACTTTAATTTTGTTATTTAAAAGTCTTCGGACATTACAAAGCCCGCTTTTCAAACAAGTATTTGAAGCAGGACAGTGTATGACTGATGAGTTGGTTTCTCGTATTAACTCCAACTCCTCATCTGTCAAGTGAACACCGTGGGCTAGAATTGTTTTTTCTCCCAGAAGATTTGCCTTTTTATAGACATCAGTATAATTTGCATGCTTTGGGAACAGCTGTTTAATGAACTCGATCTCATCAACATTTTCTGAGACATGTGTTTGCACATGACAGTTGAATTCTTTCTGAACTGCACCAAGTTGCTCCAACATGTTTAGGTCACAGGAGACAGCAAATCTTGGCGTTATTATCGGTTGTATTCGAGGGTCATCGAGACTGATCACATCTTTGATGAATTGTTTTGTATCTCTAATAGACTGTCTAGTATCCTCTGTTAAATAGTCAGGAACATTCATGTTCATATTCACTTTTCCGATGAAAGCACGCTGCTTTCTCATTTTTGCAATTTTTGCAAGTTTTAGGCAGCTTTTCGAATGAATTGTTCCAAAATACGCTGCTGTTGTTGTGCCATTCTTTAATGTTGTCTCCTGCAAAATAAGTTAAAAACTACTGTTAGTTTACCTCAGAGACAATTCATAGCCTCATATCTACATGAATGAGAACAAAAAATTGACACATTTTTAACAATGAGGAAGACTAAATGAACAATTAAACATTAAAAATTTCTTTTACACCTTTTTAAGTACCTGAGATACTTTTCACAACGTAAATGAGCTTTAAATTGAAGATTTTAGCATGGATGTAGGAAATTAAACTCTCTGTAAAATGCTCACTCTTATAATTGACATTGCAGAGCATGAAAGTAACAAAGCAGATAGGTAGGTACTCACCACTACTTTCTCATAAACTGGGGTTGCATAATTGACATCCTCAAACTTTTTTTCCAAGGGAAAAGTATATGCTTTCAACCACTCAAGTAGAGCTTTATCGTAGCCAAGTCCCGCATTTTCAAACTGAGGGCCATGAATGTGAGCATCGATGAAACCGGGAATCAGAAACTCCTGGTCAGATAGTCTGTAAATTTCTCGAATTTTGTGTTCTGAAATTTTGTAGGTGCTCAGTAGTTGTTCAAAATCAATATTCACATCAATTGCTACAATCTGAAAAAAATCACATGATAGTTTAAGATATTAAGTAACATCCAACTTAGAAATTCAGTAAGTTCAAAACTATATTTCACAAAAAGGTATCCTAAGGGGATATTCTAAGGGCCACTGATATGAATCTTTGGTGAGGATCTACTGGATTCTCACGAATACATTGTGTCAATGAGTGCATGAAATAATTAAGGTCAAGGTTTTAAAAACTACCATAAATTCTGTAGGTAAGTAAGTACTTATTTCTCACATAAAAAAAAAAAAAAAAAAAAAAAAAAAAAAAAAAAAAAAAAAAAAAAAAAAAAANAAAAAAAAAAAAAAAAAAAATTCTTAGAAACTACAGTAGGTACATTTTTAAAGAGTTTTTGAAACTTTTTCTGCCTAAATACCTCATAAGTATGAGGTATTATTATATATACTATTATATAATAAATACCTATAACAAGTAGGTATTTTCATTAAGTAAGAGCGTCTTTTTTCCTTTAAAGTAAAATAATTGAAACCTAAAGCACTTACTTTTTCCTCATGAACTACCACTGCAGTATTCTCCAAAACTTCGATTTCGCCAAAATTCTCACAATGGATAAAAGTGCCATGATAAATATCCATGTTTGATGTCAGGAACCTTATTTAAACTTCGAGGAATGACTGGAAAAAGTACATACAATAATTATTTTTTCTTATTAAAGTCACTTGCCAAGTGCAATAGTGCTGAAAATAGAGCGACTGAAATACAAGTATGTAATGTAAATTCCATAGAGAAAAACTCAAAAATTTGTTGAAATATGTATACCTACAAATCAAGAAACAATTTATTCTCCTTTTATGCAGGCGAAAATGCCACCTTTATCCTTCATCAATGGATTTTAAGAAATTTTCAAAAAGTGTTTTGAAAATATTTACTTTCAAGTGTTGAATATACTTTGAAGTTTATACCTTGCGTTTACCTTTACAGTTATCATTATGATAGAATCGTATTTCGGCATATTTTCACACTGGAACAATTTAAGTGTAGATCTCCACAAAAGTTTATGTATTTTTTTTTTCTTTCTTTCTTTCTTTCTTAATAACTTTCTTTTAAGTAGGTATATTTCACATAAAATTTAGTTTTCTTATAAAAATAAATAAATAAAAAAAAGGTTTCCTAAGTTGAATGGATAGTTGTTTTTATTATTTTTATTTATTATTGAGATTAACACGTACGTACTATCACTTAAAGCTATGTACCCAGCTAGCTGTTGCACACAGGCCATCACAGGTACTCAAGGGACTCTTGCTCTTCGAGATGTAAAAAAATAATAATGTGACGCTTGCTAATTAGTTTGTAGGCCTCAAGAACATTTTGGCATTGATATTACAACGACGAATCAACGAGAATGAGCCAGCGTGAATCATTCGTGCTACGGAAAGTTGTTATCTTGTGAACCACATAGCAAGATTCTCCTTCATTTAGACTGGTAGGTAGGCAAAAACTGATCCTGCGCATCTAGGAATTGTCGTTTTCCGCAAAGATTGACACGAATTCCCCCGTGTTCTTATTAAATCTACAAAACGCGATTCAGCGAAGCTACCGCTACCCGCTTTTAACTATTTTTTTTTTAACCTTATTCAGGCCCGTCACAAGGGGGGAGGGGGGAGAGGGGGTTCTGGATCTCTACTACCGGGGCTCGTGCCGCCTGTAACACACTACTTCGAATTTACCCTTGTCTCATAAGGAAAAGTGAAATATTTACCCTAAAAATTTTGCAAAAGTTAAATAAATTTTCAAGCAAGGAAAGCTCAAAACATTGTTTGAATATGAATAAACTCATCTCCTAAAAATGAGCATGTATTTACTCTTTTACTTTATCTTTATTATTACCTCATTAATTTTCATGATGATATTACAAATTATATTTCTGGTGGTAAGGGGGGGGGGAGGGGGGGAGGATTGGTGGCAGTTCTGGGGCCCGGACTTTAAAACTAGGTACCACGCCCCGAGATGGGATGTGGCGGGCCTGAAAGAAAAATATTGCTCCGAGTTTTTCAGGTGTCGGTGGCGACTTTTTATGACCGTTATGGATTCTCACAACCAAGATTCCGACCTTGAAGGTGCTGTTTAATGTAGAGTAAAAGTAAAATAGTGGCACGGAAACTGCATTGCTAGGTGATAAATATCTAACGAAAGTGAAGTTTACACCGAACTCACAAAACAAATAACGAACAAAATGAAAGTCGTTGATAAGAATTTACAAGTAAAACGTGACTTTGGCGAGGTAATTTTGAATCAGCGTTATTTCGAAGTGGAAAAGCCTTATCTATCGGTAGACAATTGATTCAATATGTTAGATAGATATCTGCTTGTCTCACCGCGACGGACCGGTTTTTATGTCGCACGAAGGTTGAGTCCGAATTTGAGTTCAAGCGCCATTTACCTTCCGTTCACTAAAAGACGGTCAGTGCGTATAACGTAAGTGCGCACCCCAAAAAAGCGCCTATCACTGTTTTCCACCAATTTTTTTTTTTTATTATTATTATTATTATTTCCCACCCGAGAAGAAAAAGGAGAAGAAACCATAGAGGAGAAGAGGATGAAAAAAAGACAAGATGAAGAAGAAAGAAAAAAGAATGAGGAAAGAAAGGAAATCGTGAATCGTAAAATTTCACGCTTACTCGGAACACGCTAAAAAATACCTCTTTACCAAACGAGAAAAGTACATTAACGCCAGATCGGTTAGCAGGGCCGGATTAAGAGAGTGGCCACATGGGCCGCGGCCCATGGCGGCGAAATGCAGGGGGCGGCAAATTTTGCAATCTTTTTGAAAGTAGGTATCAAAAAAGAGAGAAAAAAATCGGATTCAGAAAATACACAAATCCCTGGATGGTTGATCCTGAAACGAGAAAAGGCGACAAAATCTCTCATTTCCTGAGAGTAAAAGTATAGTAGTTTCTAATTTTGTCGTCTTTCGGTGATACAAGAGACAACATTTTTAATTAGTCGAGGTAAGAGAGAAACCAAACACGCAATTTGACCTGGAACGGAGCGGCGCGCGGCGCGGCGCGGCGGTCGGCATGAAACGCATAGCGCCCACAAGACTGCATGAATACTTCACGCATTGCGCCAAACAGTATGGTCAGCAGCGGTCGGCGCGAAACGCATAGCGCCTACAAGACTGCATGAATACTTCACGCATTGCGCCAACAGTGCGGTCGGCGCGGCGCGGCGGCGGAAGTTAAAATTACTAACCACATTTATGTTTGTTCTTTCATAATTTTTTCGTTCGTTATTTATAAATGGAAGGCCTTGTCCAAACAGGGATGAGTTTACGAGATTGAACTTTTATTAGTGTTGACAGGGCTTTCACGAAAAATGTGCCAAACACGAGTAGATGCGTCTCATACACCCCTCTCCCACCGGCACGTTCACTCGATGGTTTTTATAGATCGTATTCGACAGATCACACAGGTGAATTACGTCCGTACATTGAAACAATCCCAGTCTATTGCCCCGGTGAATTCCAGTAAATTTCTTCGTATATGAAGTGAGCAAGTATGAAGCGTGGTGGTCTACTGGCCTCCACCTGAAAACCTAAATGATCGCCACTGCCTTAGACAGAACGAAATGAGTGGAAGGGAATAAAATGAAAGAACGAACCAGTTTTGTTGAACCGCTCGTTTATTCCAAGCCGAATCCGTTAACGCTGGCACTACCGCACTATCTATTTTATCACTACTTGTCACTATCTTATCACTACTTATCACTATCACTGAACACTCTTTTCCCTTAGTTTCGTACTGGTACGCATTAGAGTTCAAAAAATTTAATTTTGACTCTAATCATAATTTTTGGAACTTCTTGACTTTGTCTTCCTCGCGGAATGGTGTGGACCTAGCACCATTTTCCCTGTTTCTTATCACTGTTTTAATAAACGGGGGAAGCGAACGGTAACTATATAACAACGAGGCGAAACGCTCCGTGCGACACGGGGGGAGGTAGAAGCTGAGGGGTGACACGTGTGGGGCGACTTGGCTGCGAAACTCCTAGCGAAACTGGTCGGATACTCTCGGGGGTCAGCGCGAGACTAGATTGGCTGTTCGGCTTAAATCAGTCGAGCCTCACCACTGGGTTTTTGGTCTAAAACCTTCGTTTCCGTAGGAAACTCGGCTGAAATAGTCCGACCCAGTGCCAGACATCCGGCTGATGTCATAACCAATACTCGTCCTTGCGGAAGGACCGCGCCGAGATGCCGCCCTGCGTCAAGAGGCGACAGGGTCCCCTTGCCCAAGTAGCATTTTTCAATGTAAAAGTTGCAACAAGTTGAAACAATGTTGGTATTAGTTGCAACTAAGTTGCAACTTTCGGTCAACTTTTGGTCGATAAGTGCCGATTTTCGACGATCCGATCGGAAGACAAAGTTGCAATCTGCTGAGATTGCAAAAGTGCTGAACCAAAGTTGTTTAAAATCTAAAGATAGGCAACCAGCAATACTTTGAAGTTGAAACTTGTTTCAACTTAATTGCAACTAGTTCCAACAATGATAGCTCCTTCGGGGGAGAGAGTAGGCAATCTGCACATCAATCTATCGGTTGCAAGAATCAAACGATTTTGTTGCAAGTTGTTGCAACCCCTGCTACTTGGGTGATTGGGAATTGCCTGCCCTAGAGATGGGGTGGATATGGTCACCTCGGTCGGGCTCTTCGGCGAAGACGAGCATGACGGAAGTCGGAAGTCACTGCAGGGATGACTCCGGGCTTTTTGGGAGGATCCTCAGGGGTCGCGGACCCCCTCGCCTCGCCCCTTCGACCGACCGGCCGGGCGCTGGGAAACTCAGCCCTCCAGCCTGCCCTATGCTGGATTGCATTTTTATACCACACGCTTAATCGGCACACATTAAAAAAGTATCTCTTTATACCAAACGAGGAAAGTACATTAACGCCGTATCAGTTCGCCTTCAATTTTTAGTGTAGACCATCCGAGCTCCCACGTGGTCGAGAGAAAGAGAGGAAATCGTGAATCGTGAAATTTCACGCTTACTCGGAACGCACTAAAAAATATATCTTTATACCAAACGATAAAAGTACATTAACGCCATGTCAGTTCGCCTTCAATTTTTAGTGTAGACCATCCGAGCTCCCACGTGGTTGAATAGTGGTATCATCGCGAAATGGCACGCTCCCTCCAGCAACACAAATAGCTTTTTGCCAAGCGCGTGGATCGAGAGAGTATCAGATCAACAAGTATCGATTGAATCATAGATGAAAACGATCGACATCGATTCGATTAAAAAACGATAACGAGACGGGTTTGTTTTAATTTTTGGATCAAATTAAGTCTGTATTGGAACAATTCCAGTCTATTGCCCCGGTTAATTCCAGCAAATTTCTTAATATTTGAAGTGAGCAAGTATTAAAATTATAATGTGTGACAAAGCATAAAGATCCGTGACTTCTCATGGACTTTTGCGCTGATAAGTACGTCAGTAATGAGACCCAACTAATGAGCTGCTAATGAAATCCAACATCAGGCAAACAAAATTCTAATAAGATTTTCCTCAATAGCAGCTCGATAGCTGCGTTGCACACTGTAATTTATGAACGTGGTCATGAAAAGGCGCGAAAATCGACGTGAAATGATGCGCACCATTCGAGTGCATCACCACAACCGGAAATGATCCCCCTCACTATTGGCTTCCCCATTTTTTCCGGTGAAAAAGTAGAGTAAATAGAAAAACTTAGTGTGCATCGATTCTACATGTTTCCGACTTTTTAGCGATTAAAAACAGACGAGGAGCAGTTTATAAACTAAGTAAGACACTTTCTTCAATTTCGCACCCCCTC